ATCTTTTCTCAAGCAAGGCTTTTAATATTTTTAAATATCGATCCCTGACTTTTATTGACAGACGGAACCAAAAAGCCTCAGGTGGTTTGCTGCAATGGACGTGGCCATGTCCATTTCTCTGACACCTTGACACGAGAGAGATATACAAGAGAAACGAACTAACCCCTCTGATACAGCGGCATTAAACGGCACTCAATGCAAGGCTTAATGTGTCTGTTCGTTTCAGATTGACAGTATTGCGTCCCCGTCTTGTCAACGGAATGAGATTGTCTGCAAGTCTTGTCGATTTCACATTTAGATTTCTCTGGTAGGGGAAAATGAAGATGTCTTCGGTCGTGTCGATCTATTCAAATTCCAAACAAATTATCCGTCTGACACGTGTTCATCCGCGTTGTTAATTCCACAGCCAGTGTCAGACGTCAAATCATATGGGGCTTAGCGCTGTGAGTTAACGTTAACTGTTGAATTAAGCAATGCTGAAACAGTCTGCGGGAAGACAAAAAGGTAGCGCTTGAATGACAGGGGGGCATTACGAGTGCAATCAATAGCACCTAGGAAGTCTTAAAAGAATGGTCAGATTGCGCCAGTAATTGCAAATGTTGAACGACGTCGACGGCAACTCGCTGTGCGTCTCCTGGATTGCTGCTTTTTTCACTTTAACATTTAATTATATGTCTGATTTGGGGGATTCCCTCTTGCACTTCATTGTCTACTACTCTGATCTTTTCTGAGAACTATGTCTATTCTCGAAGGCGATAACGAAATCGACTTTCGCGCCAATGGGTACATGACACCTCAGAATCAGTTTCAAAGGTTATATGATCATACTCTTGTGAAATTCTTGGGAGGGAATATGTGATAATATTTAAAAACGAAGACGTTGCGACATAGAAAGGGAAGCCGTTCCCATGGAGACAGTATGAGGCAGTTTCTCGGGTGGGGACAGTGAAATGCGTTACAGGTTGTGCTGACTTGGTTGTCAGTGGTAAACTGAACACGAACCTAATTAAGGTGGAAATGCCAAAAGGGCATTGGCTTTAATGACCGCTTCACTTCCCTCCTGCCCAAATTTTAATGAACCAATTAACCTATGATAGAAATGTGCTCACAAGGTCATTTAGGGAAGTAATTGGTCAGGCTGGACATCTGACAAGCAAGTGACTGTGGTAATGTTTAAGACGACGTAAAACGTGATATGAAACGTTGATGTTTAATCTTTTAATTCAATATTTCAAATGTGTTTACATGAACATTTTCGATGTAACATGCCAATAAACAAATTTGGGTGTACTTATTTGTGACAACAATTGCATTCTGTCAACAATCTCAGCAGCGGACATGCGGGTGCATACCGGGCGATACAATACCTGTTGTTTTTGGTCGAATTTAAACCGGGCCTTAATGATAGCGGGATACGTTTAAAAACAATAAAACATGTTCTTACCCTACCAGCCACTCGCCACGTACACTGTTCCAAACCCAGTGTCACTATTTCATTATTAACTTTCGTACAGTTGTTTAAACGAATACATAGTCTACTATTGGTTACCGTGTTTATGTTACATAAGTAATAACAAAATAGTAATATCAGGTAAGCCTGCAATCAATGGATATTGACTAAATGACTTACTGTATGTATGTATGTATGTATGTATGTATGTATGTATGTATGTATGTATGTATGTATGTATGTATGTATGTATGTATGTATGTATGTATGTATGTATGTATGTATGAATGTATGTATGTGTGTATGTTGAATGTATGTGTGTGTGTGTGTACGTACTTACGTATGTTATGTTATGTTATGTTATGCTATGCTATGTTATGTTATGCTATGCTATGCTATGCTATGCTATGCTATGCTATGCTATGCTATGCTATGCTATGGATGGATGGATGGTTGTATGGAGGTACGTCATGTCATGTCATGTATGTATGTTTAGCTATCTATACATACATGCATACATGCATCCACCCATCCATCCATGCATGCATGTCTATCTATATATACATGCATCCATCAATCCATGCATCCATCCATCCATCCATGCATCATGCATCTATCCATCCATCCGTGCGTGCATGCATGGATGGATGGATGGATATATAGATAGCTAGACAGATAGTCAATTAGATAGATAGATAAATGGATAGATAGATAGATAAAGATATACATATAAGGATTTCCTTATACTATCATAGTCAATAAACATCTTCCTCCAAATGCTCTGATCAATACATTAACATTTCCGTTGATGACTGTCTGTGTACATGCCCATGTGATATATATACAATCATATTTTGTTGCAAACTTTGTATTATATTGCATCTCAGCCATTTATCTGATTCATATTCGTCCTTTGACCTTTACCATAAAATCTCAGCTTCTCATGGTAGAGGCACACACGCGGATGAGTATCCGATTATATCGGAGATATAACTAAACGACCATTGATCTCTTTAAGCTTGCAAATTGTCAGCTTGGATCATGGAGGTTTGGCACGCACCAGTTGCGCCAAAGTTCAATATTGTTGAACAAACCTTGGCTTTCATCCAACACTTGGAAAGAACGTTCATATCAAGGACGCTCCTGGCCGAAGGTTCTCCGGGTCTAACGAGAGATATAAGACCTTCGTTTGCACTCATCACCTTTTCTCCAATAAAGCTGGGAGAACTAGCAATAAAGGGAATGAGAACGCTATTAATCGACAAGAATTCCTCTGTCAATTCGTTTTGAAGTGACTATTTCTCGAATCTCTGGTACTTCATTGTTTAGGTGTATAATTAATTCGGCGGTCATCTTTAATTAATTGAACTTGTCATCGGGTCAGGAAGTGGGACCTTTTGCTGTAAAAATCGATGATAATATTGTCAGAACTTGATGGGGGTCCGTGTTAAATTGGTCCAATTTTGAATGGACCGAATACATTTCTCGAAGTAGTTTAACAGTGAACAAAGACGGTACGCATCCAAGCAGACAGCGGTTATCTACCCTACGTATCAATTCTTCTTATCAATTTGAACTGAGTATACAAGGCTTCTGGTAACGTCTTATACAGGACATATTACATGAACTATCTCTGTGGTTTTGTCAAACGAACGTTAAGATATATTAAAATGAAAATATGATTGATTTTTTCCAAAGTTCTATCAGGTGAGACATAAAGGGTGCATTACATCAGTTTGGAAATGGAATTTCTGGGTTATTACTCTTGTAGAGCATGTCCTGGTACTTCGATTTTACGTCAGTGCGAAACGTCTTTCAATGTTGATATCTTGGAGATGAAATGAGATGTTATGTCACGAGGGGGCAGCGTCTATCATCACATCAGAATGCACAATCTTCCCGTGAAGGGCAATAATAAAACCCAAGTATGGATTTCCGGGTTACTCAGAGGAAGCGGAAGATGTATGTTTGGCGCTGTTTTGCGATGTCATTTTTCAAAACGGTTTTCCATTCCATTCGAAATTTCAAATTCCTTGACCCGATTAGGATTTCAATTGATCAAATGTCCATCAGTGTCCAATGACTTTTCTTAATATCGACCTTGTCACATAATGACCCAATGTTTTGTTTTAACCATGAATGTTGAGACGTTGTAATATACGGTGTTTACATAATGAAGTTATTTATCAGCACGAACTGTGAGGCCTGGTTCAATATTTTCTGGAGAGCTTTTATCTTGTCTTATCAGACCAAAAAAGGTTCAAGAAATGTTAGGATTTGTTCTGCGAAACCTTATATTGATTTTTGAATAAACTGAACATGATCTTTTTTGAGAAAAGAATAACATGTCTCGTGATCTAAATTACTGTTGTTTAAACCTTCAAGACTGCTCCGTAAGACAGGCATTAAGTCTGACATGCAGACACGGGTCAATAGTTTAGATCGTCTGTACATTAGGTTACCAGCTGCCTCGTTATCTTACAGATACAATGTATGCGTAGAATATTCGGAAAATGTAACACTACCACTACACCTCTTTATTTGTACATAGTCTAGAAGGTTGACTCATGCATGATAACAGTGATTGAGTTTTGTTTTACGCCGCAGTTCAAGTGTATGTCTCTGTGTATCATTCCGAAATGATGTAGATCTGAAGTATATTTGTTGGTTGGTTGTTGTTTAACGCCGCACGCAGCAGTATTTCAGCTATATGGCGGCGGTCTGTAAATAATCCGGTCTGGACCAGACAGATCCCGAACTTAATTATATGAGAAGAAAGGGAAAAAGTGAATATGGAAGTATTATGAATAGAACCGACTCTCATATTGGCAGATTAACATTTTCTTCATTTCTTTGACGTGAGAGGTAATATTAATAACCACGCCTTGTGAAACATTTAATAACTAGCATTCACGTCATCACAGTAGATATTGCCAATATGGAGGGAATAGTTTTATTTGTTTGTTGTTTAACGCCGCAATCTGCAATATTTCAGCTATATGGCGTCGGTCAGTAAATAACCGAACCTGTACCAGACAATCCCGTGATCAACAGCATGAGCATCGATCTACGCAATTGGGATACGATGACATCTAACCTATATCGTTATGGTGTTATCCATAAAGGGCATGGTGCTTACACAACTGGAAGCGTAATCACGGCGTAATCCTTGATCCTGGGTTTCTGGCACACATAAGCTATGAATATCTGCTCAGAGAATTTCACGTTGCTTTGGACGTGGCACCAATGTCCACTCAAACGCAGTAGGTTACAATGTGTTGGGTTGTTGTTTAACGCCGCACCCGGCCATATTCCAGCTATATAGCGGTGGTCTGTAAGTAATCGAGTCTGGAACTGACAAACCATCTATCTACGCAACTGGCATACGATGACTTGTGTCAACAAAGTCAGCGAGCCTGACCACCCGATCCCGTTAGTCGCCTTAAAAGACAAGCATTGGTTGCTGAAGACCACTTCTAACCCGTATCTTCACAGGTCGTTATTATGTGATATCTTTGGCATCTCTTTAACTGACATGTTGTTCTTGCAGGACAACAAGATGTGCCGTTACCCGTGCCAGTGTCCGGTGGAGGAGCTCCGATGTAACGAGGGCGTGAACATCGTGAAGGACGGCTGCAGCTGTTGCTACATGTGTGCACGGCAACGTGGTGACTTCTGCAACAGCAAAGACATCTGCGACACAAACAGAGACCTCTTCTGCCATAACAGTACAGGGACATGTCAAGGTAAGACCATTTATACAACCCCAAATAGTTTAAGGAACACCATCGGTGACAGATTAACTGCAGCAATGTGAAAGACTCAGGACTTTGATGGCTTCTTTACAAACTTAAAGCACATCCATCCATCCATCCATCCATCCATCCATCCATCCATCCATCCATCCATCCATCCATCAGCCATCAGCCAACCAGTCAGCAACCCACCCATCCACCCGACCGTCCATCATTCATTCATCATCCATCCACCCTTTATCCATCCATCCATCCATTCATCCAACCAACACCACCCATCCATCCATCCATCAACCCACCAATCGATCATCCATCCATCTACCATCATCCATTCAGCCATCATCCATCCGTCCATCATCCATCCGTCCGTCCATCCATCCAGTCATCCACCAACCCATCCGTCCACCCACCAATCCATCCATCCATCCATCTATCTTTGGAAATGAAATATATCATTATCTTTAGACCATGAACGTCCACAATACCGAATTCACCCAACCATCCCTTTTACGTAATGCACTGAATATTTCCGGCGCATCCACATCATCGTCATCACATAATATAGCCCAGGACACCATTAGCCCAGTGGTTTCGGAGCCACGTTATCTGGCAGTCCAGAAATCGATGATGGTGAGTTTATATTCCGATCTTCATTGGCTATGTTTCCTTTGTTTTGTCAGCAACAGAACCGTGCTCGAGGGGCAATTCAGTTTTCCTCCAACTCCAACTAAAATTAAAATCAAAACCTCTTTAAACCAAACTCACTCACACCGCTAAGTGGTAGATGAGCCCAACGTGACGAAGGTTCCAGATTAAAACATTCAGGAAATAATGTACCACTGATATGTTACTGACAAACAACAATTAAATTGGAGAAGCGATACTGTGTCCAGAACCCTCGCCCCTAATTAAGGAACGTTACCCCCGACAGTGAGCTCTTCTGCCCTAGGCCTTGAGTATCACCACATCCGGTCGCACATTATTATTGAGTTATTAACATTGAATACATAAATGATTTATTTTCTAAAGCCATCGAAAAATACTGATATATTCCGTGGAAGATAATTCCACTTGGTCTTATCTCTTCATGTTCATTAATTTTGAAACATCATATATGTCTTCAGGTATTATAACTGGATATGTTGCCAATATTCATTTCCTTAATGTCAGTGCAGTTGAGATTATGGTAACTTTCAAAAGTGATCTCAATAGTCATTTATATGCAGAAAGTGTAAGAAAGAATAACTTTTTACAGATGTTGTACTTTGTTGTGCAAATATCTGCTGTAAACGTGTACATATGTTATCTACGAGTCATACAATTTACCTCTGAAGCTCTATTGACACAGAATGTCTTGTTTGACCGAAGACGCCTTTCGAAATTTTACCTATATCGCGCTAATCCTGTTAGCGAATGGCATGAACGTCTTCTGAGACATTAACAGCGATGACTGGACAGTAATGTCTGTATATCACAGACTTTCCCTCGAAGGGGCCAAGAATAGCGTATAAATTTGGACATAAGTAATCGGACAATGATAGAATGAATCTGTGCTTCTTAATAGCATACATTGATATGGACAGTACATTGTCAGCATTTCTCGTGTTGCAACTAGGACCATTTGCCATGGAAACCACAAGCATCCAATCGATACAGTGTATATATTTTATTTGTAACTGAATCCCCCTGTATAATGTATCGAAAGCTATACACACAAATGCGAGTGAAGCGGAAATAACGAGGGTTTTAATGGTTTTAAATGGAAACTTTAATATCACATTTTTGACCTTTTCAGTCATGTATTTTGCAAAAGACGATAACGAATTTTTATGATCGATTTTCAATACAACTGAAAACTAGTTCGTCAGCGATGGAACTCTAGTGCAAAATAATTTCAGGACGACAATGGTCTTAATAATTATCTTTGGCATTTTGACATTCATGGATGGACAATTCATATTGTCCGCCAAGAAATATTACCAGGCACAATATATTCACAAATACTCACTTCATTTATACGATAAGAAAGCAGGTCTATATGTCGATCGATGTGATGTACAGAATCACAATTTGGACATTTATGAACAAAATTTTCGTGCCAACACGTTCCATGGAACACTGGTGCTTTTCATATAAGATACCAATCACGCAGTCACAAAGAATTTCCAAGAAATCGACGATCAGTGTTTTTTTGTATTATGCCAAACGAATTGGTCTCTGGCAATGGGGTAGCCTAGTGGATAATGTGTTCATTTGTCACGCCGAAGACCAGGTTTTGATTTCCCACATAGGTGCAATGTTTGAAGCCCATTTCTGGTGTCCCCCGCCGTGACATTGCTGGAATGGTTGTAAAAACTAAAACTCATTCCCTCACCCAATTGTTCTCACCACAAATACTTCAAAATGGGAAATAATAATAATAATATAATAAATATACACTTGTATAGCACTTGTTTCCAGTATAATCAACTGCTCAAAAGCGCTTGTGAGCAATGAACTGTCCTTGGAATACACAGTGTAACAGTAGCAGACTTTAATCAAATGTGTTTTCAGTAGTGATTTGAATGATTCAAACTCATGGGCACTTCTTATTTCAAGTGGGAGGGAGTTCCATATCTGGGGTGCTGAGATTTCGAAACTTCTCTCGCCAAATGATGTACGAGCTGACGGAAGCTTCAAAAGACACTGGTTACATCAACGTAGAGTTCCCTGGTTACTATAACGTAGAGTTCTCTCAGGTTTGTATTCTTGGATGAGTTCAGAAATGTACGGAGGAAATATAGCGCTCTTGATTCTTTCGGCAGTATATATTATTATGTCATTATAGTACAGGAGTTTTATACCAAAGTTTCCGAATGTTTTATTTTCCGGCATTCCACTCGTAACTATGACAGCACCTGTAACTGCAACGACATCATATGGCAGGTGTTGGCCATTTACGTGGCGAAGCTGAAGATCATTATGGCTGGTTAGATTATCATTCAGTCAGTATTATTCCTGTACCACCAATGTAACTGAAGAACCTTGTGTGAATCTTAGGAAGGAGTATCCTCAAGGGATGTACGGATGTGGCCAAGAAAGGAAAGCTGATATACAGTCAACATCATGCCTCTTGACATTCAGAAGAACGCAGTGAAATATTTCATAAATACTTTATGTTCCATATCCATGTCATGGCAACTGACGTTGAAAAAAGGGTGCGGGCGTTGGGGCTAGCAAATAATGTTATCGATAATGCTTTACATTAACGTTTGTGATAGAAGAAGGCTTTAATTAACACCTGCAATATACAAACTTTGGCCTTTATTCACCTGCTGCTTCCAAATCATGTTCGTTACGCTGTTTAGTTAGAAATCCATGCATAATCATGCACCGCCTCACCAGCAGGGTTTTACACAGACTTTGAAAAAAGAGAGTCATAGTGACTCACAGTATTTATTTTGGGGAGTCATTTTCAATGTTTGGGAGTCATGAAATTTTTAGTTTAATATTTATTTGTGTATATCAAAAAGCAAGAGTTTTGCAGAGATTTTGTTGTTTTGTGTTGTATTGTCATTTAAATGTTACCGGAAGTTAATAAATATTTTATTTTTCACAGTTCAAATCAGTCATAACAAAATCCAGTAAACTGAACAAATAATCATGCTTGTGATTTATTCACTGTAGCATACAGTTATTAACATGAATTGAAAGAAATATCTAAATTAATGAAGACCTCATGAAAACTATCATTGTTTGCTTATCAACTCAATGTTATTGAACTGAATTCTGGGGGTCACTCATAAAACTTGCGTCAAGCTTGACTCGTATGATAATATTTTGAGAGTCTTTTACAAAATTGTTGCGTCAAATACGCAGGTTAATCACGCGTCATGTAAAACCCTGCTCACCAGTAATGAGAATTTAATTATATTCATTTCTGTCGGACGTTTTTGGCATTGTCGCTCAAATTTACTTCGCCGATATTTATAGATAATCGATCGATATTTAGATAAAGAGTATCGATCTCTGTATATCGTTAGCCAACTCTAACGGACATTTTAGATGTTCACCTGCGCAGGGGGCGGTGGTGTAGCCTAGTGGTAAAGGCGTTCGCTCGTCACGCTGAAGACCTGGGTTCTATTCCCAACATGGGTACTATGTGTGAAGCCCATTTCTGGTGGCCCCCGCCTTGCTGGAATATTTCTAAAAGCGGCGTAAAACCCAACTCACTCACTCACTCACTCACCTGCACAGACAGGGCAACATACAGACAAGGAGGTAATGGCATTGTGATATCGTTGTTCTCACCAATGCGTCAGTTTTAGAAATGTCTCCACTTGTCCCCCATACAACTTTTGAAATATAAACTAAGTCTTTGAATGTTGTAACCCAGGTCTAACAAATATAGTCAACACTTTCAGCGAAAGGTAAGGTAAAACTTTGTAGTTTCAAGGTGGGGAACGACAAACATGAATTTTGACAGCTATGTCAAGCATCAAACTAAAGTCTTTTATGTGAACCAAACACGAGCTGACCAACAATCCGCTTTCTTAACTTGTGTCTTCATTTGTGTACTGCAGATGCTACAATGTCCTCCTCTTGGCCGCTACTACCCGTGAAGATCTGGGTTGGAATTGATCTTCAGCAACCCATGCTCGTCGTAAGAGGCGACTAACGGGACCGGGTGGTCAGGCTCGCTGACTTGGTTGACACATGTCATCCTATCCTTATTGCGTAGACCGATGTTCATGGTGTTGGTCACTGGATTGTCTGGTCCAGACTCTATTATGTACAGACCGCCGCCCTATAGCTGGAATATTGCTGAGTGCGGCGTTTAACAACAAACCAATCTTGCCCAGTTCCACAGAAGGGGTACTTTTAAGGGAGAAGCCATATGTACTTCAAGGTTGTGTCCAAATTAATTGCATCGGGTTGCTTAATCAAATGCATATCATATATTATGAATCTATAATAGGTTTTCGTCACGACATAGCTGAAACACTGCCGAT